TTGAGGTATCCACTATGACCCCAAGATCTTTTTCCCTCTCAGTCTCAGCAAATTCAGACCCCATTATCCTATACTTGAAGTTGGAATTTTTTATCCTATTGTGCATCTCAGTTTCTGCAAGTTTGGTCTCCATTAGCCTATACTTGAAGTTGGAATTTTTTATCCTATTGTGCATTGCTACACTTACCAAAATAACATCTAGTTTATTGGGCTCAGAGTTGCAAACTCTCTATAGCTTGGCCAACAGAACTTATTCTCCCCTAAATTTAGGGATTGTTCCAAATGCAAATCTTCCAGCTGTATATCTTTATCAACTTATAACTCCAAATTGTGCAGAGCCATCTCCTTGGCCAGATTTAATGTTCTTCGTTCTGCTCTTCTCTCTGGCAGATTCCAGGGGATCCCCTACTCCAGCAGGTGTTGTCCTTGGAAGAAGGACTGTGTTGAAACTGTCCCCCATGTTCCCCTTTAATGTCCCTTTTATCTGGTGCCCCACCAGGATCTTCTGTATCCTATATTAGCTCAATTCTCAGAGATTCCTGACGATTTGAAGGTTCTGTTTTTGCTTGACAATCAAGATACGGAAATAACCGAAATAGTAACACGGTTTCTTCTTAGTGCTATGGCTATACGTTCTAATAAGTAACCATTAGGTTTTTCTGCTTTCATGCTGTTTTTCTGCACCATAGCTCCAATTTTACCCTATATGGATTTGTATTTTCTGATCTATATTTAATCTGATCTCGCCAATAAAGGCTTGTCAAAGTACTGCCAGAAGGTACACTTACCAACATTGAACTTCATTTGCCACATTGTTGTCCATTCACCCAGTTTGTGGAGGTCCTATTAGAGCTCTTTACAGTCAGCCTTGGTTTTCACCATCCTGAATAATTCTGTGTTCTCTGGAAACTTGGCCACTACACTACTCACCCCTCGTTCCAGATAATTTGTGAATACAGTAAATAGTACTGGCCCAATACAGATACACTGCTTACTTCCCTCCATTGTGATAACTGTCGATTGATTCCTCCTCTTTGCTTCCTGTCATTTAACCAGTTTTTAATTTATAACAAAACTCATCCTCTTATCCCTTGACTGCTAAGTTTACTCAGGAGTCTTTGGAGAGGTACTTAGTCAAAAGCCTTTTGAAAGTCCACGTATATAATGTTTACTGGGTCACCATTGTCTACACACTTGTCCACTTTTTCAAAGAACTCCAAAAGGTTGGTGAGGCAGGACTTTCCTTTGCAGAAGCCATGCTGATTTTCCCTCAGCAGGCTTTGTCCTTCTATGTGCATAACAATTCTGTTGTTTAATACAGTTTCCACTAATCTGCCTGGACAGATGTTAGGCTGACTGGCCTGTAGATTCCCTCTAGAGCCATTTTTAAAAATTGGTGTCACATTTGCTTCCCTCCAGTCTTCTGGTACAGTAACTGAATTGATAGGTTACATATATGGGTCAGTAGATCAACTTTCTCACATGTGAGTTCCTTAAGGACTCTCAGGTGTATGCCATCAGGACCTGGAGACTTATGGGATTTTAGTTTCCCCAGTAGGTCTAGAACTTCATCTCTGGTCATCTCAACTTGGCTCAGTTCTTCAGACTCCTTTCCTGAAAAGAGGGGCTGTGGCATGGGTATGAGCCCACTTTCCACAGTGAACACAGAAGCAAAAAAAAAAAATCATTGAGTTTTGCTGTCATCTTTCAATCTTCCTTTAGTAATCCCTATATTCCTTTGGCATCTAAAGGCCCCACTGCTTCCTCAGCTGGTTCCCTCGTCCAAATATATTTTAAAATATGCTTATTGTTTGTCTTGATGCATTTAGCAACCCACTCCTCAAAATCTCTTTTTGCATGCCTAATTATTGACTTACATTTCTTTTGCCTGAGCCTGTGGTCCCTCCTGTTCAGTTCATTGGGGCAGATCTTCCACTTTTTAAAAGAAGCCTCCTTACTTTTTATAGCTTCCTTGACTTGCATTGTTAACCATGCAGGCCTTCTTTTAGGCTTGGCAGTGCCTTCCCTAACCTGTGGAATACATTCTATTTGGGCTTCAATTAATGTGGTTTTAAATAGCTTCCAAACATCCTCTAGGGATCTGACTCTTTTATGTTTCCTTTTCAGCTTTCTTTTTACTGTTCCCCTCATTTTTGTAAAGTTCCCTCTTTTGAAATGAAATGTTACTGTTTGCGACTTTAGGGCTAACTTTCCATTTACCTGGATCCTGAACTTAATACCCTGTAGGTGTAACAAGCTCTACAAATCCTTGGCATATGCCGTCTATGGAAATGAGTTACCAGTTTTCATCTTTTGCATTTTTAGTATATGTAGAATATAAACACTATAACTGTCATGTCATAGAACATCGCTGTGTTATGATCCACTGTGTGAAAATGGAGGCACCAAGATTGTGTGTGTGTGGGGGGGGGATCTTGAAAAATCTGTAGTTAGCTTGAGAAAGTCGGTATTTGTTCTGGTGTGTAGTGGTTTCTCAAGGCCACAAAGCTGGAAATAAAGAGTCCATTATCTGTGCCTGTGTTTAGATTTGGTTATGCTTGTCACTTAGAAAACCAGTACAATCAAAGCATGCTTTACTTTGGCAACCAGTCTCTTTGTCTTGGCACCTCACCTTGGTATTATGCCAGACTGAAAGTAGCAAAGTTGCCAACTCTTGCATAGATTTTTGGACTCAAATAGCTGTTTTTCTTCAATCCTTAGCTGTTGAATATTGGTGTCATACTGGAAAAAAGAAACATAACAGTCATTTGTGTGGAAATGGGTACTGTGGGTGAAGTAAGGGTGCAAGGATTCTCCCTTCCCCAGATGACTTTGCATAATTATATTTTCACAGAACTTACTTCAAGATGGTTGCCATCTGTTATGCTTGAGGTTGGCTGTGGCTGCACCCTGACAGATTCTCATTTGCCTCTCATACGCTGTCTCTAGTCACGCTTAGAGGCAGGCTTGTTGTGAGTACAAAGAAGTTAGGCTTAACATTACCATTTTAGTACAGTACCCAAGCTAGAACATTATGAACACAAAAGTCCTGAAGGTACTAGAGATGGCCACAAACAGAGTTGTCAAAATAGATTAGGGCTAAAGGAGCATTTTTGCTTGGGTAGTGTATTCTTCCTTGTTAACTTGGCACTCAGCAATGGTGGCATCACAACGCAGGCTAAGGCTTGTTCAGAAGGATTTGGCCCATGGCACATCTCTGTGACATCACTGGGGTGAATACCTTAGAACTCCCACAAAGTTTGTTAAGCCACAGGTATGGTCTGTATGCTGGATTTCTGGGCCTCAACATCTGATGTTAAAATGTAAGTAATCCATACTTTGAAGGCAGCCATCAATTCCAATTGGTTTGAACTGTGGCTTAAGTTAGCCAGGGTCAACATCTAAGAATAGTGATATAATATGGCAAAAAAGGGAAAAGAAGTGTCAAAGCATCTTGAAAGTACTTTTCTTTACAGCTTCTTCTATGCAGACTAGGATATATAGGTCTACCTTTGTTGGGTCCGGGATTTCTCAAATGTCCTGAAATGAAATAATGGACTGATGCTACAATGTTGTATGTCTCTTGAAAATGTCTGATGATAGGTAGGTATGAAAAAATTAGACATCAATAACTTTTTTTTGGGGGGGGGAATCAATCATACCCCTCTAAGAAATGATCAGAAAAGGTTCATTCTGTTTTGTGATTTCACAAGAACTATTAAGAAATTCAAAACATTCCAGTTTGCATGTAAACAGCAGAAGAAATAGTTATTTTAGCAACTGTACATACAATTTTAACTTCTGGTTAAAAAAGAAAACATTGACAAATCAAAACCGCAGCTATATACAGTGTAATACAAAACATTGGCTGTACAGTTTAAAATTAATTCATAGGTTAATTTTCCTGAAATTGTTACTGTGCAGCTATTGAAATGGTTTCTTCAAGAACAACGGATCATGAGTTCAAGCCAAAAGACATGTATACACAGGAGGCATGATCCAACCACAGTTAAAAACTCTGAAAGCCTTACTGATTTTGACAGAAGAGTTATGAATGGGAACTCACCTCACCTCTTGAAATCTGTGGGGCTTGTTCAACATCATTCTCTACATATTTACTCAAAGTAAGTCCCTTGAGTTCAATAAGGCTTACTCCTAGGGATTGGGGCCTGACAATCATTTCACTGGGCTTAGACTGGAGTAACTGCATAGCAGTCCACAGCAGATTGCTTAACTTTGACAGGATTTTACTAATTTACTCAGGCCTCTGAGGTGCTGATTAAGAGTATCTGATATTTGCAAACTGCACAGTATCCATACAAGACCTGAATAATCTTCCTAGAGGATTATATGATAAACTGGGGTGTGGTGGTATGGGAAGGAATTGCAAGGTTAACTCAGGAGGACCAATCCATCTAAAATAAGAAAATACACAATTCTGGTCCAAAAGTAGCACTTTCTGCAATTCTTAGATTGCACCGGAGTACTGAACCAGGACGTTTTTCTATAGATGTGTTCTTTGACTTCCTCTGACAGCAGTAAGCATATGAGATGGCATTAATCTAACCTAAGCAATGCTGAGTAATTATACTGGATTTGCATACTCGTTGCACATTTAAAAAAAATAGAGTGCCATTTCTGAACATGGTTACTGAATGCTTAAAAACTGATTTGCCCTCCTGTTGCAAACACATCAAATTAATTTTAAAAAATTCTGTGAAAGGGATGCATTCTGGAAGCACATATTTGTATGCCATATCATGTTCCCCCCTTCAAATAGTTTCACATAGACCTCTCCCCAAATAAAGAAGACCAATTTGTTTAACAAATGTTCTTTGTCTAAAAAGGAAATTATCGAGTTCCACACACCAACACTTTTAGTTAAGAGGCAGGAGATGCCGCCCCAGTGTGTCTTTCCCAGGTGCAGCCGTTTGTAAGTCCTTTTACAAGCAGTTCCTTGTACATTTTCATCCGGATCTCTGGGCTTGACAAAAGCGCCTTTATCTGATTCAGTTTGGATAACAGGGCCAACAGTTCTTTCTGCAAAGCTTCCTTTACTACATCGGTTTCATGGCTTTTCCCTAAAAGAAAAAGGTGGTACAATTTTGCATACAATTAACGGTTGTCTAAAATATTAATGGAACCAAAGTTATCAAAAAGATGGCATCTTTTGAGAAACACATATGTGCTTCTCATGTAAAATGTAATGTTTAGTCAAAATTATATAATCTGAGTATGCAAAAGTTACTTAACCATGAAACATAATGATAGGGTATCATGAACAATTCCCATTTTGTAACACGCTGGATAACAGTAGCAGTGACTGACAGTAGTAACCACACTTCTGAGCAGTGTTTCTTTTTCCAGTGCAACAAAAATGTCTTCATTTTGAATACATTTCAAGTTATATTCTGTAGTTCTTTGCAGCAAAATGAATGGCATCATTTACAATTTGGCTAGCTCATCTTCTTTGGAGATTTGTTTTCATCACACGAGCTCTGTTCTCTTCAAGTGCAATGAAGAGTTTTTCTGCAGCTGAGACTGACTGAAGTGGGCCTCTTTATTGGCCAGGCCCATTCATCCCTCCCTCCCTCTCTCTGTCTGTCTTGTCTTTCTTCCCAGGATTCAGTAGTGGTTTTATTCTTAGCAGCATTGGTATCCGAGTCATGAAGCTCTGCAAGATAGGGTCTCCTGTTCAGAAGAGGTGTCTGATACCAGACAATAACAAACTCAAGTTGGCCATGGCAATTCAGCAGAGCTGACCTACAGGCCAAAGACATGGATATTTGTGGTAGTCTGCCTCATGGCTCCCAAAGTGCTCATTCGCTTTTATCATTCTCAAATTCCTTGCTATTGCCAATGGTTGCCTCCTCAGTTTTCCCTGGGTTTTCGCAATCAGTCTGCCTATTTTTGTTCTGAGTTTCTTCTAGATACTGCTGCACCGCCTTGAGGACTGCATTCTCCACCAGTCTTTTGCTGAGGTTCAGCAACTCCGCATCATCTGGCTCTGCCCCTCTCTTTTCACCTACACACCACAACAGACAAAAATCAGTAAACCAGTACAGGTGGGGAAAGAGCACTCAATACACCCCTGTTAGGAACAACTCTTCAGTCTTCCTTACCCACCAAGTCTTGAAAAGCAAGCTCATCTAAGGCCATCTGGACATTGGCTTCAGTTTGCCAGCAGGTTGCTTAAGGAAAGCAGGAAGGGGCTGCCAGGAGGCAGAGGCTTAGCTGCATCATAGGCATGCTTTCTGGCTCTTCTGTTGCTCATCTGTTTGCCTATTCCCCGACTGACTGTCACTGAGCATTCTCCCTGTTCCACCTATAGCACCTTAAACAGTTCTCTTGGGCCCAGGGAATAATCTGGGAGCACCCAATGCTGTAGCTGTAGGTGGGCCAGAAGCCTGGATGGGAGATCACTGTGAATAAGAACCAGGGATAAAAATAAGAATTATACTTGTCCTATAAATCTTAACCAGCAGCCTTTTTTTTTTTTTTAAACCACTTCACAAACTAGTTACATTTGCTCAGCTGACTTGTACTGCACTGTACATCAAGGTCCCATAGATCCCTCCTAAACTGATATTCATATTCATCTCATATTAAATTGTAATGTACTCTGTAAGTCAATGACTCACATAAGAATACACAAAATACCCTATTAGCAGCCTAAATGTTTATTTTTCTTCAAAGCCACAGGGCATAAATGTAAAAACCAACAAGTCTACTGAGCATAATGAATTTGTACTCTGCAACACTGTCCATGTATCATCTCTGATGTTAAAGGAAAAGCTTCTGGTTTGTTTTTGTTTACTGAACTAAGAGTATGCCCAGACACTTCATGAAATATACTGGTGTACAGGGCACTTGACTGCCCATTTAAAGCCTGGGCTCAGAAAGACGGAGGGAGGGAAGGGAGGAAGAGAACAATATTTGCTACCGCAGCCTTTGCAAAATAATGCTACAGAAGACTGAAGTGTGGAACAATCACACTTTGCTTGATACAGTGCTGCTCTTACTATAACCAAGCCCAGTGTTCTCCAGGCATGCACCCACTCACGGTACACTTTAGTTCCTACAATTATTAGAGGCAGTCCCTGTTATGACTTTGTGATCAGAAATAGCAATAAGAACAGTAATGCTACACAGAAAGGGCACTACCAGCAGTGAAAGGTGGGCTGTGGGGTAGGAGTACACTTGCCTGTTCAACCAAATGTAGCCTTTTGTTCTACACAAGTAGGCAAATGTGAATAGGGGGGGGGCAGCTGGAAGGAAGTTATTCATCCTGCATTCCTTTACTTAACAGGTTTCATGTTTTATCTCTGACCAAGACAGCAAAATCACTCCATCCTCTTTGCCCTCC